TATTTAAAGGTGTCTTATCAAAGAAATCAAAAAGATGCATAAAGGCAATACAACATAAGGAAAATACGAAAACCAAACAAATTGCAAAATGTATTTGCTAACTGACAAAGCTGAAACTAAGAAATAATAAGCGCATTAATAACAAAACTCCAAAAACAACAACATGAAAGAACAAAAACAAAAACGATTTAGTGCATAAAATAAAACAACAAGAAAAACCACACACTTTATAGGCGTAGTAGCCTGATAGTTGTAAAGGAATATGTTTCTTGGCAAAGCTTGGCTCTCTTTCTTCCGTTAAGTTTATAAACTATAATTATGGGAAATTTTCTGCTCACACCCTGATTGCTTAGTAATGTGCATAAGGATTTATAACGCTATTATTCGGGATTTGACGTGTGAAGTAGGTTCAGTACAGATAGCCTATTGTGCAGCGTTGTGCTTAACAACAAAATTCAGTTACTTTCTAAGACTACACAGGGCTTACAACAAAGAAAAAGAAGCAATGAGTGAGGTGAGGATACAATCTTAGACTGTTGTAAGGATTATGAAAGGCAATTTCCTCAACCAAGGGCTCTTTCTAGAGAGCTATGTCCAACTTATCAATCTACCCTTGTGCCTAAGAGGTTAAAAGGTGGTCAGCTGAAACCATTGCTGTTGCACAAAATACATCTCTACTAATCTTTCCTATGCGAGTATGTACATGTTTCATTACGGCAATGGCCAGTTTGGGTGCCTCAAGATCAACTGTGTGGTCACTTAGGTGTACATTGTCTATACCAAGCACAATCAAGTGCTGTTCAGGGTTATCTGTAATTAGAGAGGGAGGGGAAGTACGAACTGCTTATCTCTCCATGATCCCAGACCATCAGTGCACAATGATAATGTGGATATAGAATGTAATATTGACATATATCCTTCCATACAGCTACAGACCTCTTCCATGGAAACCAACTTCTTCGGGATCTGCATATCTCCAGACTTTCAAAGGGAGAAAAATGTGTGAGTCTAGTATAGTTGGTGTTGTAAGTGCATAGAGTTATAAATACTGGTAGTAGTCACCTGTCTGCACCATCCATTTCATAATGATGGTGAGTTAAAGCAGGTTAAGCCACTGGTGTTTAATGTGCATATAATTGGAATTTCTTGGTCACATAGTTAGCAGGAATAGAATATCTACTAATCATATGAATATTACAGTGGCCAAGAACTAGCCCTATCATGAGGCCAAATTAATAACCTACAGCTTTTTGGTCTTGCACTATTTTAGTGATAGTCTGTGATCAATTTCCTAAAATTAACTACACCACTCTCTCTATTGACTAAGGCTGGCATACATTTTCGATGAACATACACATCTGAGCAATTAACACGGTCCTTAAAGCGTGCTTTGGTTAAATCATTGGTGTTTTTTTTTTCTTCAAGACAGCCCATTTATTCTAGATATTGATGCCAGTGATGGTAGAATTAAACCAAAAATTATAATCAAGATTTATATGACAAGTTTGTTTGTTGAATTTTGTACAAAACTACTCGAGGGCTAACTGCGCTAGTCAACCATAATTAATTGTACTTATGGATATTGTTGGTCTATAATAGTCTTCCTGAAACACAGTGAGGAAATTTTTCTCTAAAACTGCACGCAAACTTGAAGTGGACTGTAAAGACTTTGGGAGAATGTGTATCATTTTACTAGAATAACCTGAATTATTATTATTATTATTATTTTGCTTATCTGAGTTAGTGGGTTGTCAAAACTCGAACTTGGAGTACTAGATGAGAAACATAGGATTCTTATTAGTTGCCTTGTCTGTTATTTTAGACTGTATTTGTTTGAATATATTTGTCTTCGAGAACATGGAAGGTAGAATGGTGGTGATTAATTATGTCCAAAATGATTGTTTTTATTGTTTTCACCCATTCATAAATGTGTCTTTTCGTTGAGAGGGACAGCATGTAAAGAAAACAGTTTACACCTCACAAAATGAGAAACTTGATGGCCCTATTGTTTTTATTACTGATTGTAAGGGAATATTTTACAGTTGAAGTAGTTTTTGCGAATTTTTGTTTTAATGTGAAATACTCCAGTGGAAAAGCGGTAAGTTTACGGACTTACAATGCTAAAATCCGCGGTTCGATATCTTGCAGTGGATATAGATAGCAGATAGCCCAAAATGACTTTGCTCTAAAACAAATAAATAAACAAATTACAAATGGGAAATCACAATTACTTGTTTATTTACAATGAAATACTGAATAATATGAATGAAATATAAAAAATATATATATATTGTTTTCTAGTATCAAATTATAGAAATTAACAATTTTTGAACTTCGTAAACATTACTGGATATTTTATCTTAGTATTGATATTGAATAAGGTAGCTGTTATACACGAATAACATATTTATGTTATATTCTACATAAATGTATAGTTTTAGCGTGAATAACAGTTTGCCAAGACTACAAGTAGAAGTCTTCCACAAAAACACTTAGCCGAACATGTTTTCTGCTTTTAATTTTGTTACTGCTATTGTAGTTAATGTTTGTTTCGGGTTTGTTAATGTTTGTAAAACTACTCTAGGAACGCTAGTCATTCCTAATTTTGAACTAATAGACTAGAATAAAGACAATTATTCAAAAGCACCCACTGTCAACTCTTGGGCTAATGCTGTCAGACCAAAGGGTTGGATTTGGTCGCCACCATGGCTCAATGTGAGGAGCGCGATTTGTTTTTGTTTCTCTGCGTAACTGGATGCGAATGATAGTCATATATAACCACAGTGCGGCTTGCTATTGGCTGGAACACGCTCAACGCTTTTCGTAATAGATTACTTAATTCTCTGGAAGATTAGTCGAGTGATAGCCTTAGTTATTATTTCTATCCTTCTATTAATTTCTAAAATATTAACATTTCACATGTTATTTTCACATGTCGTGTATAAAAGTCCAATCGTAGCTTATACCATGAGCTAGCAATGTTTCATCGGGAACTTCCCGATTTCAAGATATATCTTTATTTACATGATATAGCCTGGCTGCGACTTCTTGGAAGTGGACCTTCTGGGGAGTTACTTCGTAATATTATACATGATTGGTTGAAGGTTGAGAAACGGAGTTTCTTCCCTAATTTTTACTTGTGTCTTGGATCTTTCTCAGTCTTGTCCTTGTCGTCATATAGTTCAAGTTCCAGTTTTATGCTAGCAGTCCGGTCTTAGTTCTGTGAAGAAGTCAACTGCTGCCTTAAAAGTTGAAGAGTCTTTCTTGACATTTAGGCTTGAGTTGATAATTAAAATTAATGATCTTTGATGCAGCTAAAGAAAGAAAGAAAGCTTTAGAGTTTTGCATTTAATTAGTAAAGATTTTCAAATACACAGCAGCGTTTATTACACAGATGCTCCACTCTGTATAGCCACACTTTGATGATCTATACCCAAAGCTCTTTCATATTCATTACCCTGTCGGTTAATGAAATCCTGCGAATTCTTTGTTGACCATTCTCGCATAAAATACCACAAGTTAAACAGCTTATGATAATGGATTTTTAAAAATTAAGAATCTTATATGAATAAAATGTTCTATTGTGCTCTTTATTTTCAGCAATAAAGAGGGTTAATCGCACTTTAAACAGGTGATTTGAATATCCTAATGCAGTGGCGTTTTGTTGCAGATGTGGGCAGTTGTGCCACGGGCGACATGTTTAGTACCTATTTATTTGGTTCACCACGTATTTTTCCTAGCATTGCCTGGTGGTTTGGGCGTCCGGTTTGCAATCAGCAGATTACGGGGTCGAAACCTGCATC